AGCGGGGCCCGGAGCGAGGCCGGGAGCGGCTCTGCCGTGCCGCTCACAGTCCTCGTCGTCCTTCCCTCCGTCCTGGTACCGGCTGTAAGGGCCCTGCGCTCGGGGCAGCCGGCGGCGGCGTTGTCGCTGAGCGGAGCGGGCCCCGGCAGAACATCCGTAGAATCACAGAGTCAATTCGGTTGGAAAAGACCTTTGAGATGATCGAGTTCAACCCGTGACCGAACACCGCCGTGTTAATTAGACCATGGCACTGAGTGCCACATCCAGTCGTTCCTTAAACTCCTCCAGGGACGGTGACTCCACCACTTCCTTGGGCAGCCTATTTCGGTGTCTGATCAACCTTTCCGTGAAGAAATTCCTGCTATTGTCGAACCTGAACCTCCCCTGGCACAGCCTCTGTCTTACCCTGTCGCTGCTTTCCTGGGAGAAGAGACCGACCTGGCTGCACCCTCCTTTCAGGCATTGTGGAGTGATGAGGTCATTCCTGAGCCTCCTTTTCCCCAGGCTAATCACCCCCAGCTCCCTCATCAGAGCTGTGCTCCCCACCCTTCCCCAGCTCTGTTCCCTTCTCTGGACTCGCTCCAGCCCCTCAATGTCCTTCTAAACTGAGGGGCCCAGAGCTGGGCACAGCACTCCAGGTGTGGCCTCACCAGTGCCCAGCACAGGGGACAGTCCCTGCCCTGGCCCTGCTGGCCGCACTAGTGTACATCCTGACTCACAGCACAGCCGCTGTATAGAGTTGGTTTATTTATTTTATTTATTTTATTTGTTTTATATTTAAGAATAAGCTCTGCAATAGCAGACAAAAACTGCTGACTGACAAAAACAGGATCACTTTTCACCTTGCTGCACCCTCAGTAGATGCACCCTCAGTGCTGCACTGTCCGGGGCTCACAGTGCCTTCACTCTTAACCATGAGCTCTATCAAACAGTGATTTAAATGATGCTTAATGGAGTCTGAGTGCCTGGCTCAGTGGGATCATCCCAGGCCACAGCTGCTGGTGCAAATCCCGGTCTGCAGGGAGGATGTGGGTGGTGGATGTGAGTGGCAAAGGTCAGTGCTCACTGACCTTTTCACAAAAAAACCCAACACCCATAAAGGACAGCAAGCCATTGAGAAACAGACATCCTAGGACATCCTCTGGGTCATCCACATCCTGATGCCACAATATTTAATTCTACTTTTTTTTTTTTTTCTCCTTAATTTAAAGAGGAGAAAAGGAGTAGTACTTCCCCTTCCTGCCTGCTTCTGTTCACACAGGGACACACGTACTTCCCACGACAAAGGCATCCCTATATTCCAGACAGGGATTGAGCTGGACTGGAAACCTTGCTGTATTTCCTGCAGGCCAAGCACGCCTTTTGCCTAAGGTCAGCAAACATCTGTGGCCTCAGTGTGGGAATCTCAGTGGTGTTACCATCAAGTGACAAGTACAGACTGTGCTCTCCTGCTTGGTGGGATGAATTATTTGTCCAAGGTGCTTGAGCAGCTCTGGCACATCAAGGAGCTTCAGACCTGTTGAGAAGGTCTCATTAAAAAGTAAAGCACAACACTTGAGAAAAATCAGAAACATAATGAAGAATTTCTCTTAAGTTTCTGCTACCTCTGGTTAATGGTTTGATGTTTGACACTCTTGGTCTAGATATTTAATAAATGTTTCCTGTTTGCGTTGCAGTAGTGCATCCCTTGCAATTCCATGAAACAATGAGCAGGAATGTTTTGTACTTTCCAATTCCAGTGTGACCGAGTTGTGCTAACTGCAGAGAGACATTATCAAATGCAGTACTTGTTGATGAGTACTTAGAGCTGCCTTTGTTCCATACACAGCAGTGTAGCAGCTCCGTTAGCACTTGTGGTGTTGGCAAAAATTGTGTAGTGGAATGGAGTGGCAGATCAAGCCATGTGCATTGCTCAGGTATCAGTGGGAAGGTCAGGATGAAAGCTGAGTTCTTAAGGTACATGATACAATAAGACAGAGGTTAAGGCAATATCTTATTAAAACAGGATCTATTTTTTTAGAAAGTAAACACTTCAAGGGAAAAAACCCCACCCTTATTTAGCTCTAAAACAGAAGCAACATTATATCTTATATAATATATATAAAATAACTGTACTGAATTGCTTGGAGATATAATTTTTTTTTTTGATAGTTCAGAAAGGGCAAAAAGGGAAAACAAAAAACAACCCAGGGAATCTCTAAGTATGATGTTAGAAATGCATTATAAATCAATACTAGTGGAATGTATAAACACTGGGCATTTTAAATTTTATGTGAATGGAAAATATCAAAGTTCATAACCCAGTATCCTATACTGTTGGAAACACAATATAGGTGAGCAATTCTATTGCTTTTTAAAAAATTATTATTATCTAACACTATGTTTTGCAAGCTGCCTGATGAAAAACCAAAAATCTTCCTTTAGCATAACAATGTCCTTCACACATAAAGATAAGTTATCTGAATTCTTTATTCAGGAAAATATTTGATAAACTGCTAGTGTTGTTATTTTCTAACAACTTATTTCTTCTGTAACATTAAGGTTATATGAATTCTTTTTACCATGAGACAGTTTTCATGAGAATAAATTGTCCAGACAAACATATCCACCATAGTTTATTTTTTTATGGAGTGCTGTAGACATCCCATAACACCTGAGACCTTTATTATGAAAGCCACACTTAAATACACACAAAAGATCTCCAGTATAACTCTTGTTCAAGGGTTTTTTTATCCCCCTCTGTCAAATATCTGATGTGGAAGAATGATATTTGTTTCAATAAATAAAATGGTAAATTATGTAAACAATGAAGGTATGTATGTTATTCATTGCTGTAAATATATATATATATATATATAAATGTCAGCATCTTTGTACCCTTCTTTGGGCATTTAAATGACAGTGGGTTAATCCTTTGAGTTTTTACTCCCTTGTAAACAGAACTGTTTCTCCTGTTTGTAAACAGACATTTTTAAAAGCAGCATGCAATACTGAATGGAAATAAGCTAATCTACATGAGGAAGAATTACAGTGTCAGCATTTTATTTCAGGCATTAGGCTAGCAGACATCCTCCAGCCAGATATAAAAATATCTTTTTGTTATATATTGATCTGAATTCCATGCAAATAGCTAATGCAGTGATTGTTGTTAATAGCATATTCCTAATTGCTTCTTTATTAAAGATGAAAACTGAGCTGTAATATGGATTTGGAGAATTTATTTCAAGTAAATAAGATACCATGTTCTTCTGCAAGAATACTTGTTGCCAAAGACATAATTATTGAAAAACAAGGTTTCATATGTAAAAGATAGAGAAAATATGAGTATTTACAATCATTTATGTTTAAAAGCACTGCTAAGTTCTGTGTGCTTCATTTTATACTTCCACCAAGAACTGTACGTTCTTTCCTTTAAACTTCTGCTTCTAGACATTTTACTGTGGCCTCAGGCTTAGTTTTACACTCTTCTACCTGATTTCCATTATTTTGTGTTTCCTTCTCAGGTGTTTGATCATTTGATTTTGTCTCTTTGAGAGCAGTAGTGACAACTTTTTCTTTTTGCTGATTCTTGTTTAAAAATGGTAAGGTTTTCTTGTACCTTTAAAAAGAAAAAAAGATAGTAAAGCAGAAATACTGACATAGTTTGGTAGTATTACTCAAACAACTAGAATTAAATTACCATACTCAAGCAGAAATCTCTCAGAGGATAGTGGCATGCTAGATAATTTTATTTTTTCCAGCAGTGTGCTTTCTAAAGAAATATTTTGGTATTTTTCTAAAAGACAGACAATGTATATTCAGGATTTGTGGTACACAATGATAAAGCTGTCTGGGCTAGGGCATGAGAACTACACAATTTTTAGTAGCATTTAATGATGGACTATTGAAGTTTGTATTTTGGGTTTGACAAATGAGTTCAACAATTATTTTTTTCTGAGAAAAATCATAGTGCAATGATAAAAACTTTCACCTTGAGTTTGACATAGGAAAAAAAGAAGAATAAAACTGCATAAACAGGTTTATGTATGAACAAATGCATATTTCAGGGCTGCTATTTTGACACACTTGGAAATGTTTCACACTAGGCATGGTTGACCAATTAAAATAGCAATTTTTTTTTTGTATTGCTTTTCTAAAGCAGGGAGTGGCAAGAGCAACAATAAACTTATCTGCATAAAATCAGGGTTTAAGATTTTTTAAATTTGTGCAACACTATCATGTTATCATTACTTCTCTGCTCTTTAGTGTATATTTTAAATATTCAGTGATTGCACTCTAGGAGTTAATTCAGTCCAAGAGAGAAAAAAAAAACCCAGCAACTTACTTTTTGATATAACAGACTGCTAGAACAACTGAAATAATGAAGAAGATGATTGCCAGTACAAGAAGTGCAGTGGGGATACCTAGGGATAAAAGTGATATAAGCACAGAGTTTTTATTTATGTACTTAAAGCTGATGTTCTGAAGACTTAAGAGCAAAAATTTGGATTCTTCTAAAACCAGCCTAGTATAAGAGTACATGAAGAATATTAGGAAGATCAAAAGGTGAGTTAGAGTTACTCCTGCTCATTTCTTTCAGGATAGACTAAAACTGTTATTTAGGCCATCCCTGGCAGATATTTGTCTAATCTGCTCATTGGAGGGCTTTTATAACCTGCTTAGAGAACACATTCTTGTGATTAACTATCCTTACAGTTAGCATGCTTTTCCTCATATTTAGTCTGTTTCTCCTAATTAATCCTCATGTTGTGTATTAGGATTGCTTACTCACACCTCACATCTTGAGAACAATTCTCCTTAAAACTTTCTTGGCTTCTTTTGGTGTTAAGAGCCTAGCGAGTTTTCCATTACACTGAGAGTGTTTGCCAAGATTATTTTCAGAAATTTATTTACCCCAAATCACATTAACTTCTTCCTCCAGGTTCAGCTATATCAAAATGGATACTGGAGCAGCAAACAAAACTAGCAGTGAACAGTTTGACTACTGACTTCTACATAATTCACTCTTTTCATTAAATAACCTTTACCTCCAAAAACAACAGCATCATTCTTAAAGGCCAGGTGGGGAGTGTGCCTGGGAGAGTCAGTGGGTGAGTGCTCCTCTGGCACTGGTGTGGTGGGCCCCTCTGTTGGTAAGATGGTTTCAGTCACGCATACGACACGAAATCTCTTTTTCAGGAATTGTTCTGACTCAGTCACAGCCACAGTGGGCACTGCTGTGATGTTCTCAGTCAAATCAGAGGCTGAATATTCAGTTAAGTCCCTTGATGCAGTTGATGAAGGAAATGTGGTTGTAGCTGGGTCTGGTTGACATGAATTAATCTGGACATCTGCAGCAGAGAAAAGAAATATATACAGGTTGTATTGGATGCCAGTTTTGTACTTACTGCACACACATTTATTGAAATTGTTCCTCAGTCTTTCCCTGCTGGAAATCATTATTTTTTTGTTCATAAAAACTTTACCCAAACAAGGCATTACTATTTCAAATATAGATCATGTATTTGAAATTACATTTGAAATTTTGCATTTGAAATTACTATTTCAAATGTAGATTATACAGCTTTTATCATTACTTACATAGTTGCACACTCCTTTGAGCAAGCATGGTACTCATTTTATGATTCCATACCAATGACTTTATTCCTCATGAAAACTACTTAGAGTAATACTGCACATAAAACTCCACAGTATAACCTCCCACAGAGCAAGAAGCTAAGCTGCAGATTCAATATTCAAAAATATTCCAATTATATTATATGCATGTACAAAATATACGCATATACTGTTGATACTTGGAAAATTAATTTGATTTCCTGTAAAAAAAAAAATTTAGCACATTAAATTTCAAATAAATCAGACACCAGTGTGAGATAATAAAGAGATTTGATTCTAAGTGGGGAGGAGAGGATAGGAAGTAAAAAAATTCAGGTTTGAAGAAAAATAAGTAATTTCCAGAAATTACATCATTTAACAGAAATGGATGTTGTCTGTATAAAAATGTAAGAGCAAGTGAAGTTTTATAAGAAATTGGAAAAGCTGAGTTCTGGATCAAGCTCCTGTGAAAAATGTGACAATTCTGCTTTGCTAGTGAAATTCTGTAAAGCTATAAAAATTTCACTGCAGTAACAACCAGATTACAACATAAATAAAAGGGAAATGATGTATGTACTGTTTTCCAAGTGAATCCCCACGGGAAGTCTGATGACGCAGTCACATTTACAGAATAAAATGCCAAAGGGCAGGGGCTTGACACTTTTTCCACTCTGGTTTTTCAAGAGTTTTTGGCAAGCTTTTGGCACAAGAAAATTGTCAAAGTGAGCTTCTGACAAATAGTTTGGAATGGAATGGAAAGAAATGCCTAAAACAGCAACAGTTTGGAAATTAAGATAAAAGACTGCAGAATCACCCAATGCGAAATTTACATTAAATGGTTTTCTAACCATTGAGCAAGCTTAACTTTCTTCACACACTCTAACAGTATATATGTTTGGGGATTTTTTTAATTAAAGCAAAACAAGGAAAATAATTTTGAATTACTTGCTGCCTCTTTAACATTTCCCAATCTCCCCAACAGTTTTGATGCAGAATAACACACATTTCATGCAGTGAAACACCATGTTACACAGGCCTTCTCTCTACAGCTTTATCCTCTTTGGAACCTCCAATGCTCACAGTCACCAGGGTCTCAGGTCTTTACATCTTTGCATGGGAAAATCCTGCATCTCCATCTCTCTCCTGCTTTCCAACCCTTTTTCACACAGTGTTCCTCAAAACTTTAAGGATTTTTCACATATCCTCTTGTTTTTGTTATCTAAAACTCATTGGCAAAGTCAAGGAACTTTACTGGATTATAAATAATGAAATGATCCTTTATTTGGTCAAATTATTGGGATATTAGTTATGGAATAACAATAGATGTGGGACACAAGTAGGAACACAACATCTCTAGTTACTTATTTTTAGTTAATACCACAGAGGTCATTAAGAAAAAATACTGATGTGTTGTGCTGAGATCTAACTTATATCAAGGCCTGAGTTCTACTGTTGCATCTTCAACCTGTAAATAGCCCAGTGAGGGGAAGGGCAGGTCTTTTCACACCTAGGATGATGCAAATTAAAAAGAACTATTGGATTTTACTGATTATATAGATTGGGAATCTAATTAGTTTTATGGTCTCTTGGCCATTTTGGCTTATAATTTAATTTGGTTTAATGGATACACTTCCCTTTAGAAAAAAAAAATCCAGTTTTCCTGAAGTACCCCACTCTTGGCCTTTTTGCAAGAACAGACACACCACACACAGACACCCTGGTTAAAGATTCAACCACTCTCTTATCATGCCCAAATAACCAAAACATATGATGAGCATTGTGTCAACATAATGGAATGGTAAAAGCAACTCTTCCTCAAGAGCTTTCATGGCACCACCAAATGATTAACTGGCATTAACTGAATTCACCTTTTGCAGTTCTTGGAAGCTTCTGAGCTAAGAACAGTTTGAGAGTGTTTAAGACTGGGAGAAAAGGGTCAACAGATTATAGAAAACTAATCAACTTCTATAATTTTTTCATGCAGATTATAAAAAAACTAATATAAGCCAAAACACACAGAAAATGTAGTTGTCATGCTTACATACCTGAGGAATTGAAGCAGTAGAGATGAAATTTTTTATCCTTGCCAGCATTCCATTGTGCTATTCCAGTTTTTCCCTGACCACACTTCTGGTTGGATGTTATCCGAGGAATAACAGCAAATCCATCTTTCACCCATCCATAGCTAAAATAAAAAGTATGTATTTTAGTATGACATTTATCACCAGCCTTTAGCTGTGAAGGCTAAAGGTAATGAGCCACAAACTGGTGGCACTTACTTGCATGTTTCAAAGCCATGTTTCAGAGCCTCTTCAACTTGTTTTTTACTTGCCAGCTGCAGACTGAATCGTTTACATCCATTACTTGCTTCTGAGAAATTCGCTTTCTGATCAAGATAAATTCCTATACCCTTGATCCTGCAGGGTGAATTAATGGAACCTGTAATTAAGCCATAAAATAGTCAAGGTTAGTATTTGAATATTAACATTTACTCTTTATGAAGTATTTAAGATCAACTGAATTGAACATTTTTTAAAGTTTCTAGCTTGAGGATAGCAGAAAACTGATTTATAGCGTAAAAGACATATTTTAAAAATAGAATGTATTTTTTAACTCAATAGTCTGGGGTTTCAAGAGGTTTGACTGTCATTAGACTAAATGCATATAGAGCCTTTTTTCTTTCTTTTCTTTTTTAAAATAAAGCTAGCTGTTGCACTGAGACATTACTTCTTGTCAAGATGGTAAACTATATAACAGCAAAGGAATTACATAATTTCTCATGGAATTAATATAGCAACAAGAAAATGAAAAGGTTTTATCATTTCTGATGTTCCTTATTGCTCCCAAACTCTTTTTACTTTTTCTTCCTAGCTTGTCATGATGCTTCCATCCCCCAGCCACTGTCAAGTGTTCCATTTACTGTGTTTGGCAGGAAGCAGGAAAAGATAGGCCAGGTGAATTTAACACTTTTCCAGGCAGTTCATCCAGCTTTTTAAACAGCCACAGCTGGCACAGTCTTCGTGACACCTGCACCAGCAAGTGCATAGCTCAGGTTACACCTGCTCTTCTTTCTCATCTGCGTTAAGGGCATAGGAGAAAATTCAGGATTTGGCACAAATAAGGAGAATTTTGCCTCCATATTTTTACTGGGAGCATTTACTGGAAAAAAAAAAGATTCTTTTGGAATTACATGCAGTAATTGCCCTGTCAAATGAAACATTTTAGCATTTTGTTGCAGACACGTCAGATAACCACCAGCCACAGGTGTTACTTCCTTGCTCAATATATTTGTCAGACAAAGATCTGTGCTTCAGAATACAGGCAGTCCATAAACTCTCAAGGCAGGATGAAGTGATGCCTCCAAATCCACCCCATGACTTCTTAACAAGACAAGTTAAACTGAATTTTACGAATGAAAAGATAGAACTGGCAGCCAAGCCACTCTTGCGATGGGAAGGGGAAAAAAGGTGACCAAGCTTGTGTGGAGGGCTAAGAAACCAGGCAGGCTTTTAGCTCCTGCTCCCACTGGATGTGGTGGGGCTGCAAATGGCTTTTGGAAAATGATGCATCTCTGCTATCCTCACCTTTAGTTTAAATATTTGGAAGAGATTTTTGAATCAGGTGGCTTTATCTCAGCAGAGAGGGAAAGCCATTGAACCTTTCAGCAGTTCCCACAGACAAACTGTGGCTACATCCAGCCCTGACATGAACATAAGTCAAGGCCAAACACATTGCAGGGGGATGCAGAGAAGCCCTGTTGCTCAATGAAGGTGTGTCAAGGACTCACCTCAATCAAGGACTTCAATAAGGCTGCCTTATTTAGTCTATTATTTCCCTATCTTCAGATTTGGGCCAATTCAACTTTTAACAAAAGTAACATTGAGAAAGGAAGCTTCTCAATGACCAACTTTACAAATTTCAAATAAAGCTGAGCAGCTGACTGAAAGGAATTCAATGAAATCTTAGAAAAATTATCTAGGTACTTATGAGCTGCTACACTCATTAGTCATTCAATTACAGAACAAATATTGCATGATAGACACACAGCACAATATAGAAATTCAGTGCCAGAAACTGAAGGTGCAAATGATAAGAATAGTGACTCTAGGATATGGACCAAAGTTGTGTCTTAAGATTTGCTAGGCCTTTTAAAACAAATCAGGGATCTAAATGATACATTTTGTAAAAGTTAGGAATTTCACACTGTGGAAGGAATCCAAAAAGAGAATAGTAGCTTCTTCTAGTCTCTGTCACTTCTTAACTCACCTGTGAACTCTGTTCTGAAGATGACTGAGTTTGTACAGGAGGCAGACTAATCCTTTAGAAGTATATTATCCTTTTTGGTCCACAGGCTGCACTTAGCTGTACTTCAAGCTCTGCTCTATTTAGGTAACCTAGTACTGGCACATTCTGCTCACTATTTTGATTGTGGGTTAAAAACCTGGTTTGCTGAAGTAAGTGGGAAGATCTAGACAGAAGAATCTGACAGCAAGACAAAGCTGACACAGAACAGGAAAAAAATGGTTCCCTTTTTGTAGACTGTGGATGTTGGCCTTGTTGTGTATTAGTTCCCTTTTTGCTTTTTTTTTGGGAGGGGTGGGGTGGGAGCTGTTGTTTTTCTCTTTGCCTTGTGTCTGACCTTCACTCTGATTTATTAGTTCCCTTTGGTTGCTGGTGTCAGGGAGCAGCAGGCATGAGGCTGTTCCACAAGGAAAGGGGCCTGGAGCAGAGGGTGACAGGCAGGGCTGTGCCCTCACCAGCCAGGGCACAGTCCCACAGTGGGGATGGTGGCAGGTTTCACTGTCAGCCCCAAAGAGCAAGACAACTGGTCAAACACCCAGAAAGTCCATTTGGGAACAGCAGGAGATGGTTCTACACATGCCTGAAAGACATCCTGGAGACAAAACTACCTACAGCCTAAATCCAGAGTCCATATGTGGAGCCTAGTCAGCAAATCACTACAGGAGGGGACAGGACATGCCACAAAACAGCTCCAAGACACAGCTGGAGATCAGACCTGAGCTTAACTGGAGCTCTTGGAGACATGAGGGTGCATGAGGTGTCCCATGGAAGGGCACTTCCTCAAGCTCTCCTTTTCCCCAGTGGAAACTGTACAGTGTTGGTTTTGCTGTTAGGTACTTCAGTCCTGTGGAATTTCAGTAGGACTTGAGCATGTAATTCACTCAGTCCAGAAGTCCTTCAGTAGGTGAGGAAATCAGTTGTCTGCAATAACTGTTTATGTTCTTTAAGATAAATAGAACAAGCACTAACTCCTTGAAAATAGTGAAGCATCTGGAGGCTTCTGGTATGCACTGAGCATCTGCAGATATCCCAGCAGCTACTGCAGTTAGGAGGGATTCTGTCAAGTTGATAATGGAATTTGAAAGAGAACTCATGGTCTCATGTTGTGCTCTCTGAGGATTGTACAAAACTGTTTGCTCTGGTATTTAAAATAATACAAAATAAAGCTACATTTCAATAGATCTGAGCTTAACCCTAAATGTGATACCAGATCTTTAAAATAATCAGTTCTGTGGCATTTAGATGAAAAAGCTTCAGAATTTTCAGCAATTGAATTAGAACAACAATGAAAGTTTCCCTATATGCCAGTTTTTGTTGCACTGTATTCTCACAGCCCTGTGGTTTCTTCTGCCAGAAATACATTTACACACACTCCTTCCCCACATTTTTGTTTGTAAATCCAGCTACTTTTTCCAAGACTTTAAAAAGTGGAACTTTACATACCTGTTACAAAGTAATTTTGAGCCAGGAATGTCATAACCCAGATGAAAGACACTGCTGAGGTAACTCCAAGATAATTTGCCATTGCCACCAGCTTGGAAAAACTCAGAAAAGTAGGAAATTCAAGGTAGTTTGCCTCCTGTGCTAAAGAAAATTAAGGTATTGGATGCTGTCAGATGATGAGATGACTTCTGGACAGCAGCTTCAGCTGTCACTGCACTGCTTCATAGTAAGAATGTCAGAGGCAATGTGCTGATTGTCCCACTCCAGGGCGAGGTCACGGACCGGAAATCCCTAATCACCCTTTCCACTCGCTTTCATGTAGGGCTTGCTGAAAAATTTCACTACTGCTGGTTCAGAAAGCACGGCTGAGGAAGGGAGATAAGGCTGTTAGACTGCTAAGTCAGTAAACACTTAGAAAGAGGTCCTTCTTTTGCTATTTTTTCCTGTTTTACTGATAAACAGATAATTATTCATCTTGACTATTCATCTGGTAAATAAAACAAATCTTCTATTGTATCACAATATGCCAAACAAGATTTTTCTTTTTTATTGGGACTGAAAGGGCACGCATTCCCCACTGTCCTACTTGTCTCGATGGAAGTTTTACTTGTTTCTTTTCCTTAGAGTTCCGATGCAAAAGTAGTTCCCATAACAAAAAGGTAATATGAAACTTATTTTTTAAGAGATTTGGAGATACACTACTGTAAATGGGAATTCTTGTGAGACCATAGGTACAGAAGTGGCAGCCAGTGCCACTCCTGCTGCCTTTTGTGACATTCCAACCAACAGTGATTCCCATGGATTGCTTCAAAACACAGATGATCCTCACAGCTATAACTCAGAAAACCTTCAGGAAGTCTTAGCAAATATTTATTTATTAAATTTTTAAGTTTTTCTATTTTTCCCAGAGTTTCCAATAAACACAGAGGAGGAGTGGAGTTTTAGGGATGGGCCAATTCCTTTAGTATCAGTCATGTCTGCTGTAACTACGTTATTCCCGACAGATGTTTGTCTAACCTGTTCTCAAAGATTTCCAGTGACAGATTCCTAACATTTCCTCTAATGTTCTTGTTCAGTGCCTCACTGTTCTTTACAGTTCAAAGGCATTCCCTACTCTAACCTGACTTAGCCATTCCCTGGTATAAACCTATCACTTCTTTTCCTGCTGGCAATGGACATGTAAGATACTTTACTCCCTTATGTTTTGCAACTGTTTTATGTTTTTAAAGAGTTATGCCTTTGGTCCCAGTTTTCTTTCAGCTAAGAAAACCCTGCTGCCTCACTCTCTGGCTCCATGTGATGCCTTGCCAATGCCAAGACTAATTAAAAATTGCTTTACCTGCTTTACAGTTCAGAATGGTGTCAGTCAATTTATTTTTGCAACAGTGTGATTTTCTTACATAACATTCAATTTGTGATTCAGCAAACTTTTAGATGTCCGGTGTCTCCAGGCTGTTTTCAGGGTGCTGTGAGCACAAGTGTAACAGCGTAAAGCTTCCTCTTTAAACTGTGGTTTGCATTTAGAAAATCCCCAGTTAATACATGAGATAGCATTAACTTTTAACAGGGCACAGGCACATCTCCTGCAGCAGCATGTGACAGGGTTATTAGATGGTGTTCTGTAACACAGGGCCTGAGGAGAATGCTGGGGGTCAGTGAAATCATGTCTCCATTAGCAATGATCAAATTCAGATTGGGTTGTGTTTGGCTGTGGTTTGGAACTGAATTTGGTAAAACTCAATGAGATCTTTAGGCAAAATTCTAGCTCCAGTTTCTGTTCCCTCCATTATTGTGCTGTACTTACCTGCCTCTACAAAGCCATGCCAACATCAGATACTGTAATCAGACTTAGCTCACTTGAAGAAGGCTGTAAGAGGATTCTCTCACATTTACAAGGCAGAAGCAGAAATTAGTTATTAGTTATTCTGTAGCTCTCATGGACTATAGACTTTGGCTTTAAAATACTGAGAACATTAAACAAATGCTTACCTTGAACTGCTAAGTATTTCCTACCATGAAAACTAATAAATCACTGGGTTTCTGACATTTCAAAATTGCATGCTAATTGTTGGGTCTTAACATTTTGTGCCTAATACCCTCACCGTGGTAATGGTCCTTTAGTCAAACTCCTCATGTTTAGTAGGATTTCTAGCTGTGAAAATGAAATAAACACCTTTGTAACACCAAACAAAACTATGAGCTCCTTCACAAGGTCTTACAGATTAGGAGAGGGAGGAAAGAATTTTAGAATGACGAAGCAAGACTGAAATAACTTTGGTTTTTGTCTGTTTCTTCCTTTTTGTAGTTCAGCTGTTCCAAAACTGCACGGAAGATCACTTATCTGGACTGCAACAGTACAAAAGGTCTTTAACTTTTTGGTGTGTCTTCTTCATAATCAGTGTGGTAAAGAAAAAGCAGAACTATACTGAATGATTAATCTTTGACCTAAATACTTATTGTAGACGATATGAAAAATTTCCAGCCCTTTATGTCAGCACGTTTTAAAATGCTGATGAGGGTTGCTAAATCGAAAACTTTCGACAAGGCAGAACACGTGACTGTTCTCTTTTCAATTTCAAAAGGAACCCTGAAACAGTAGAGGCAACAAAAACAAAAAAAAAGTTCATGTAGAAAATACAAATATCATGGTCTTTCCATGGAAACAGTAATTCCTTTCCAGGTTGTTGATGTGCCAGAGTTTGCCTGGCAGAGACCATCAGAGATTCAGAACTTGAGGACTGACTCCTACCCATTGATCAAGCAAGTCTGCTCCCCATAAGACCCAGACTTCCTAGACCTCCCAGGTCCACAAGAACACGAAGCAAATAAAAACTCCTGACCTTCTGCCCAGAATCCTCGGGTTACAGATTTCCCTTGCGGCTTCCCGTGTTCGGCCTCCTCCGTGACACGTGGCCTCCCTCTGAAGCAGGAGTTTAAACTCATTCCAGGATATTTCAGCTTCCTCTCCCAGCTGGTTTCTAGGGCATGGCAGGGATGACCCTGCTTCCAAACACTTTCTCCACTGACACAGGAGTTTGCTCTTCTCTTCTGTACCATTTTCCTGAAGAACTGGAAGACTAAGAGCAAGATCCTCGGAACATGTAACAGTGTAGACAAAGCAGGACTTACTTCAATGAGGACATGGCCATCAATATGCAGACAGAGCACCCCAAATCTTTAAGGTAAAAAACATTGAGGACTTTGAAACCATAATTTTATTTCAAAACTCAAGTATGTGATACTATACAGTACAATACCAGCACACTTGTGCAAAATCTTACAATATTACAAATTTAAATATGATACACAAAAATAGTGCCCTTTTGAAGTTCCTTTTGCTAGAAACATTAGTGCTGTGCAGGAGAAACCATAAATGTGTCTTGTTAAAGCAGAAAAATAAATATTGCACCTCAAGAAAACTATTTCAGTGGTAATAGCATAAATAATAGGTCTGTTTCTTGTTATCTGATGTGATCTTTGAACACAGAAGAGGTTGTTTGGCTTTTTTTTCCTCCAGATAAAGCAAACTAATATCCAACAGATAAAATTATATTTAGAATATTTTTGAGCTTAATCTAGTTTGCTATTAAACAAAAGGTGTTTAAATTAAATAACTGAAAAATATAAGCATAGCTGTTTAATGTGCTGTTAGTCATTGTGGTTTGTTATTTTTAGTGGATAGTTTGCTCAAAGTAGTTATAAAAAGATCAATTTTTTTATTTTTTTTTTTTTAGTAAATTCATCTTCATTTTTGCACCTCCATTAAAATCTCTTGCCTCTTTCAGTTCATTTGTGGTTAAATTATACTTGCCTCAGATATACAAGTAGTTCAGTTCAAATCAGTACAACTACTTCTGGGAATTGTCCCTTTGCACTTATACCACAAAAAGGCAGTGTGCTGAATTTTAGGAGATGATGGAGACCTCATTCACCCACTTACCAAAAAGACCTTTTCACATGTTTAACACTAAGCAATTAGAGACTCCTGTTGATATCAATAACTTTCTATGTGTACTTAAAATAAGTTGTTTGACTCTCAACAGTGCCAATGTAAATAAAAGCAAATTAATTCAATTATAGGCACTGTTAATTATTTTTCTTCAGTGCAGCCTAACATTTCCACAATCACATAAATATGTGTCATAATTTTTGGCATAGAGAAATCTGAATAATATTTAGGAGTATTTTCCTTCCATTTTATTGCCTTATTAAGTTATCAATGTTATTTGCAAAGAATATTAAGTTATAGAAGCCGATTTTAGTAAAGAAGTATTCAAGCAACAATTGACAAGTTTCTTCAAATACTGAAAGTACATGAAAGGTCACAGTAGTTCTTCACAGTCAGAAATTCTAACTGAACCAAGCGGATTCCAAGTAATTTGCAAGAAACCTTCTCCTGTCTTATTCTTTACCAATTGCAATTTTAGACCAAATCACACTTTCCCACTATCCTTTCTGAACTTCCTTAAGCACACTATTCCTCAATATATATACTTAAAAAGAAACCCAAAACCTCTTAATTGCTTATAGACTCCCTTCCCCACTCCCCCCCCCGCCAAAAAAAGATGGTAATGGTCTGCTTTTTTTTTTTTTTTTTTTAATTTTTTTTTCTTTCTCCTTATAAATGTCTTCTAAGAAACACGTGGCAAACAAAAATTCACCAGCTGGATACTTGTTACTAGTGCCAGATATGTGAATTAAATTTCTGACTGAGTTAGAAACCTGTTTTCTTTGACAGTTAGCTTGAGGTTCAGTGTTTCCTCCAGAAGAGGACAGGACAATATTGACTGCATCGGAACTGAAATTACAGTACTTCATAACACTCTTATCCTTCTGTTGGAAAACAGACCCATTTCTCAATCAGAAAATGCTAGGAGAATGCAGGACAGGAGTGCAATGGAGTATCACACTGGATTTGCTGTGGCTTTTGTTGTGGCTGTAGCTTTGGAAAGACAAATATGGTTCACCTTCATTCAGAAGGGATGCTCAGCAGGTACAAATGGCACACCTCCTGTGACACACATTTTGGTCTCAGCCATAGGTGCTGGGTTTTGTACAGGTAATGGCTTCACCATTTTCAAATTGCTTGTCCAAAAATTTCAGCTTTCGCATTCTTGTGTAAGAACTGACAAACTCCCAAATAGGCAGAACTGGCAAAAAATCCGTGCAAAAAATTATTCTAGCCTGATGTGGTAGCTCAGCTTTGGAAGTATATCAAATCAGTTTTGGTCTTGGCATCAGATTCTGAAAATGAACTACTGAAAACATGCAGCAAGCTCTCCTAAGCCCTCACTGCTACCATGGCCTGGTTCATGTAGGCACTGGGTGGGTTCTGGCTGCTCTCAGAACTCTGTTCCTGCTGCAGAAAAAATTCCTATTTCCAGTGGTAGCAGGAGGGCAGAGTCACCTCTATACAGAGGCTTGAAGAGCTTTTGTTTTCTTTTTCAATACAGAATTGAAGATTGCTTCCCATGTCCAAGATTGCTGTGTTTTGGGCTTGGGTAGCACATGGACCCTTCCAGGCAGCTACCAGTTTTGGCTGTAACCAGTACTGACTCTGAGTAGCATACCTACATTTTTGGGAACTTCCATATATCAGAAGTTCCCAGACTTACTGGATGATATCAGCTGTGCCACCTAGACCCCATTTTAGGTTCTGTTGAGTATCCCATTTTAAAAAGAGTGGCGGTCCCATTCTTAATGTATATCATAAAACACATCTATGCATGTACTTAGCATTCCATTTAAATAATCGTATAGATAATTCCTCTTATAAAATTACTTTAGCAGCAAGGCATTTGGTCTTAGAATATAATTCTATTTTTCCAAGGAAGGGTTTCTATTTCTACCCAATGGTTATGAATAAAGAAATTAATCAGCCACTTAAAACCCAAAGGACTCAAATGCAATTAGTACTTCGACAATCAACAATAAATTCACGAAATGCAAAACAAAGCACTAACTGCAAATGCAGATTTTATGATGGTCTTCCAAATGTCAATGTCCTGTGCAAATCATTCTTTTAAATGTCTTGCAGGTTGCTGATTACTGCCACAACCTTACCATGATTCAACACTACTTTATTTGTACGAGTCCTTTACAAAAAGAGGACAGACAGGATTATTTATCAGATTGGCATCTTGGCAAGGGATGCTCACCACGTATCCCAAACCTGGTGGTGTGGAGTAACTCCCTTGCCTAAGGGATCACGTGGAACAGCCACAGGGATGACTAAACACTACCTTTAACAATGGTGTTCTAATACACAAATTTGCTCAGGGACCATAAGGGCGTGGTTGTTCCTCTGTTATTCCGTGCGTTGCTCCTGTCGGAGTCCTGAGTTCCACCAGGAATACTGATGGGCCGCAGAACAGCTGGCCTTCCCTTCAGGTGCCTCTGACTTTTCATCACAGGAGTTGTAGGAATGGTAGATCCCCAACACCACAGCAAAAATGACTATTGCAGCCACTACAAGCCACACCACATTCCAGTGTTTGCACAGTTTGGGGTACAGGATATATAAATAATTAATGATGACTTCAAGTCTGCTGTAAAATGAAAAGAAAATTATTATAAATCAATCAAATGCAAATTTATTATCTTAGGCTTTTCAATTTGCTAGGTGTCCTAGGTGGTGCACCGTTTTTTTCCCAATATAAACACCTTGTCAAAGAAGAATCAAACTGTAAAGTTCTTTTATGAAGAGCTGTACACTCAGATATTCCAACTTGATATATTCTATATGAGTGAAAATTTGTGAGACAGCTGGAGACTGTAAGCTTGACTCCTATTTCTCCCACCTGTCAGCTGGCAAATCTCAGACCTTGATATCATGCAAAATTCTGCACTGTTCATACCTTGATCAACTAAATAAAACATTGGAATATGTGGTAAACATTTCTTTCCAAGAGTGTCATGACTAATGAGATGGCTGCTCTCTGAAGGTAGTTGAAATCTCAAATCAACAGATGTTTATAGCTATAACAGTTATGGAATGGAAATGAATTCTGGATTAGGTAAGGATCCCAGCCTTACCTGAGATCACACTTGCTTTGGCCAGCATTCAATTCCTCTGTAAGGTACAGATGGATGCAGTGTCACTCTAGTGACAGGAATGGCACTAACTCAGGTTCCTGAATTACAGCCTTTATGAGGCAGTACATATCCATAGAGGGATACATTTTGGCATCTAAGGAACTTTTATGGAGCATTCTTTTATCTCAAATCAGAACCAAAGCCCATCAAGATGAAGCATCCTGTTGTCAACATACAGCTTTAACCAAAATATCAAAATCAAGAGTTTGCGTTTTGCAATGACACCGTCTTGGAATTTCACTTTCTGTGAAAATATTATTATTTCAATATGCTTCCCCAGGAGGAAAACATGCCAAAATGATAGTATAAAACAGTTGCTTGGGTACCACAAGTAGAAAAAAGTGGCCCTTCTTGTATGGACATATTACACCACTGTCTCACCTGCTTTTCAGGTTTTTTATCTCATCTTCATTTTCACTTTCTTCATGTTCATCATGACTTTCTTTGGGTGTCTCTTCATCTTCTTCCTTCAGTTCCTGAAGTTCTTTGGTTTTCTTCAAGGCTTCCTGATATCTTTATCAGACAAAACATTTATTTCTTAGTCTAGAATGCTGTATAAGCACGATCTTATTTAATGAAAAATTAGCTTTATGTTTTGTTACATGTAATAAAACATAAGTAGCAGTATTGCAGCACTTGAGCAAGAGTAAAAATTAGCTGAAGGCCACCAATAAGGAACACAGCCACCCTTCCTGAATAGAGGATTATATTAAAGCTGATACCAAATTTATCATTTTAAACAAAAAAAAGAGGTTGTTCTCCACAGAGAACAATTTCTGTCTATTGTAAAGGAGTCAGTAAACATTCTTCTATAACTTTCCATCATTTTGAATACCCTC